TATAAGTGAAGCTAAAGTGATTTCTTCACTATAGCTCACATAATTAGCTGTCACTTTCCCTGGAGCTAAGGGATACTCTGTTTCTTTTAGTTTAAACAAACTAAAAGGAAACCTTGATTCTTTTAACTCTGGGAAGTAAACTAAAAGGAAACTTTCTTTCCTTTAGCTGGGGGGAAAGTGACAGCTGATTCTCTGAGCTATAGTGAAGAAAAGAAAAAAGCCGGTAATTACATTTAAAAACTGTCAATGACCTAAAGTGACAGCTGCTTTTTTTTCTGACCTCCGGAACAAATTAATTGGCTTTCAGTGCATTCCTATGGGAAACCATGTTTCAGTTTACGAATTTTTCGCAATACAAAACTTCTTGGAGAACGCATTAAATTCGTAAACCAAGGTACACCTGTATATAACAAAAGAAAAAACTGAAATATCACATTGGCATAAGTATTCAGACCCTTTGCAAATAACACTTGAAATGTAGCTCGGGTGCCTCCCATTTCTCTTGATCATTGCTGAGATGTTTCTACACTTTGATTAGAGTCCACCTGTGATAAATTAAATTGATTGGACATGATTTAGAAAGACACACACCTCTATCCAGAGCTCAGAGACTGGATAATTGCAAGGTACAGATCTAGGGAAGACTACAAAAAAATTCTGCTTCACTGAATTTCCTCAAGAGCAGAGTGGCCTCCATATTTCTCAAATGGAAGAAGTTTAGCACAACCAGGACTCTTTCAAGAGCTGCTCACCCAGCCAAACTGAGCAATTGGTGGAGAAGGTCCTTTGTAAGAAAGATGAGCAAGAACCCGATGGTCACTCTGACTGAGCTCCAGAGATCCTGTGTGGAGATGGGACAAAGATCCAGAAGGACAATCATCACTGCAGTCCTCCACCGATCTAGGCTTTATGGCAGAGTGGGTAGAAGGAAGCCTCTATTTATTGCAAAACACATGAAAGCCTGCTTGGAGTGCTCAGTTTGGCCCGGTGACCAGCTCTTGGAAGAGTCCTGGTTGTACTAAACATCTTCTATTTGAGAATTAGGGAGGCCACTGTGCTCTTTGGAAACTTCAGTGCAGCAGAAACATTTTTGTTGCCTTCACCCGATACAGTCAGGTCCGTAAATATTGGGACATCGACACAATTCTAACATTTTTGGCTCTATACACCACCACAATGGATTTGAAATGAAACGAACAAGATGTGCTTTAACTGCCGACTGTCAGCTTTAATTTGAGGGTATTTACATCCAAATCAGGTGAACGGTGTAGGAATTACAACAGTTTGCATATGTGCCTCCCACTTGTTAAGGGACCAAAAGTAATGGGACAATTGGCTTCTCAGCTGTTCCATGGCCAGGTGTGTGTTATTCCTTCATAATCCCAATTACAATGAGCAGATAAAAGGTCCAGAGTTCATTTCAAGTGTGCTATTTGCGTTTGGAATCTGTTGCTGTCAACTCTCAAGATGAGATCCAAAGAGCTGTCACTATCAGTGAAGCAAGCCATCATTAGGCTGAAAAAACAAAACAAACCCATCAGAGAGATAGCAAAAACATTAGGCGTGGCCAAAACAACTGTTTGGAACATTCTTAAAAAGAAGGAACGCACCGGTGAGCTGAGCAACACCAAAAGACCCGGAAGACCACGGAAAACAACTGTGGTGGATGACCAAAGAATTCTTTCCCTGGTGAAGAAAACACCCTTCACAACAGTTGGCCAGATCAAGAACACTCTCCAGGAGGTAGGTGTATGTGTGTTAAAGTCAACAATCAAGAGAATACTTCACCAGAGTGAATACAGAGGGTTCACCACAAGATGTAAACCATTGGTGAGCCTCAAAAACAGGAAGGCCAGATTAGAGTTTGCCAAACGACATCTAAAAAAGCCTTCACAGTTCTGGAACAACATCCTATGGACAGATGAGACCAAGATCAACTTGTACCAGAGTGATGGGAAGAGAAGAGTATGGAGAAGGAAAGGAACTGCTCATGATCCTAAGCATATCACCTCATCAGTGAAGCATGGTGCTGGTAGTGTCATGGCGTAGGCATGTATGGCTGCCAATTGAACTGGTTCTCTTGTATTTATTGATGTGACTGCTGACAAAAGCAGCAGGATGAATTCTGAAGTGTTTCGGGCAATATTATCTGCTCATATTCAGCCAAATGCTTCTGAAGTCATTGGACGCCGCTTCACAGTGCAGATGGACAATGACCCAAATCATAATGCAAAAGCAACCAAAAAGTTTTTTAAGGGAAAGAAGTGGAATGTTATGCAATGGCCAAGTCAATCACCTGACCTGAATCTGATTGAGCATGCATTTCACTTGCTGAAGACAAAACTGAAGGGAAAATGCCCCAAGAACAAGCAGGAACTGAAGACAGTTGCAGTAGAGGCCTGGCAGAGCATCACCAGCGATGAAACCCAGTATCTGGTGACGTCTATGCATTTCCAGACTTCAGGCTGTAATTGACTGCAAAGGATTTGCAACCAAGTATTAAAAGGTGAAAGTTTGGTTTATGATTATTATTCTGTCCCATTACTTTTGGTCCCTTAACAAGTGGGAGGCACATATGCAAACTGTTGTAATTCCTACACCGTTCACCTGATTTGGATGTAAATACCCTCAAATGTGTATTAACCCGAACTTTCACCTTCACCTTTGTTTCTAACAATTGTTAGAATTGTGTCGATGTCCCAGTATTTATGGACCTGACTGTATGTGCCTTGCAGTAATCCTGTCTTTGAGCTCTGCAGGCAGTTCCTTTTTTACCTCATGGCTTTTGCTCTGATACAGTATGCATTGTCAGCTGTGAGGCCTTTTATAGGAAAGGTTATGCCTTTCTAAATCATGTCCAATAAATGTAATTTACCACAGGTGAACTCAAATCAAGGTGTAGAAACGGCTCAGCAATGATCAAGAGAAATGGGAGGCACCGGAGCTAAATTTCAAGTGTTGCTGTAAATGGTCTGAATACTGTGCTTATGCAAATGTGATATTTTAGTTTTTCCTTTTCATATATTTGCAAACCTTTCTAAAATTCTGTTTTTCAATGTGTTATGGGGTACGAAGTTTAGATTTAATAAGAAAAAAATTTAAACTGTAGTATCAGGCTGCAACATAAAATTGAAAAAGTGAAGGGGGTTTGAATACTTTATATATAGACACTGTATAAAGCACAGCAATGTATTTTAGTAATGTGCCTAGCATTCTGCTACTCTTCTGAAAACAAAGTAAAAGTCACATGATTGACTCCTATGATAGAGCTTTCTCTGCTGGGCTATGCAGAGAGAACTTGGCAAGCTACTGCATGCTCCATGAATAGGCTGTAAAATGCTGTGAGCATGACGGGATATGAATATAACAGTGTGGATAGCGTTCTGTTCTCTTACAAACTGTCTCCTTTTAGAACCTCTGATGTGAAACTGGTATAAAGATGAAGAACACTCATCTGATATCTGTTTACATCTACTGAGAGTGCTATCAATTTCAATCATATTTTCCATTCCATTTGCAGAAATTTAGCCCCAAACCTGCAGAGAACCTCCACCATGCTTCACTGTTGCCTGCACAAAATCATTTGTATACCCACTCACAAACCCTTCTGCTGAGAAACCTACTCTGTTAGAGCCAGATGTTTCAATTTTTTTACTCTTCATTCCAGAACATCTGGTTTCTGCAGCTAGTGGTTTTTATACATAAGTGAGGCATTTGGCTTTCTTTCCGTCTCAGAGGAAAGGCTTCTTCTAGTCTCTGCTCAGTTTTCATTGTTGACTATTTTAATGCTTGTCCTCCAATTTTATTATACTTTTGCAGATGAGCTTGGACAGCATATAGGGAGACCTTGATGCATGATGACCACGTCTTGTCTGGATGCTGTAGATACTTTTTGGTGTGGTGTGAAATTTCAAGAATAAACCACCACATATATCGTAGTATACTAAATATTTATCGTATAGTTGTTCCTTGCCCAACTTTTGTTACTTTGGTCAACTTTAAGAAAGTAATGTGATCAGTCTGCTGTAGGCATGACAATAATTTCCTCAGTCTCCATCCCACTTGTGTTCACTTGGTGTAATATTTGAGATAGAAGAGAAGATAAGTATGTGATACTGTGATGGATTTTTATACTGGTTTGTTGCAGGGTAAGACTCAAGATTATTTGAGCTGTGTGTGATCGAACTTTACCTTTGAGTGTTTACAGATTGAGAGGTGGCAACAGTAGGGACTTGAGCTGTGTGAGACATGTACAGGCTACTGCTTTGACATTGGGATTTACCTAATGCCATGGATAAATATCTATGAAGTTGATGCTGACCCAGCATTATTTTAAAGAATATGTAGATCTAACATTTCATATTCCTGATTTCATATTCCCGATGTGTGCCTGCTGTACCATGTACTTGTATGAAAACGTATCCTGTTCTCTCTGTATTGCTTCCTTTGTGTGAAAAATACCTGGTGTTTCTGCCAGTCCCTCTTCTTTCCTATAAAAAAAAACTGACCACACTAGACATGAGAGCCCAACGTGGTCAGTTCTCTAGTTGTGATGGGAACTTTGCATGCTCTCCTCCCAATGGTCTTGTGCCACACGGCCATTCACTGGGAAGATCAGTGTGCTGCTGTTTCTCCTCCCTTACCTCTTTGTGCATCTGAGGGTATGTGATAATTTACAAAAAAAGGTGGGAGAGGTTATTTATAATGTTTTTTATATCTATACACAAATGTTTTGCCTTTCATTTCTATTTTAAACTGTATGGGTTGTTTTTATAAGGTGAAGGTTTACATATACTTTAAGGAACCAAAAATGAAATCCTTGTTAGGAAAAGAAATTACAGATATGTTACACATACACATTGCATAGCGTGCTTGCATATCTCTAATGCCAGCCTCACTCTTCTCTCTTGTGTAAGCAGTGTCTGTTTATGCCATTTAAATGTAAAAGTTGCTGTATACTCAAAATTGTATGCTAACAAAGATTTTGCTTCTATCTGAAGGAAACCATGGCCCATTGTTACCTCTACCAAATCGCTATAGGATGGGTACTAGAGATACTCCAGAATTGGTGGCTTATCCTCTTCCTCAAACCTCCTCCTATTTTCATGGTGGACCTCCTGTTGGTTCAGTAGCCATGGTTAGTGGTCTTCATCAAGAGAAGATGAACTGTTCTCACGTTTTCAACCTCTTTTGCCTATATGGAAATGTTGAAAAGGTACCATTTTTGGTTTTCATGGGACATTTCATCCAAGTATTTTGAGTGCTATGCAAGCAGTCTAAAAATGTAGATAGTGTTTTAAAATAAGCAGCTAAGGAAATTACTAAATAATATGTGGGGATGGGGAGTATTTATTAAACCAGTTGCATGTAAACTGTAGTGTAATTTTGTATGTTAGCGTGAGTTTTTGGGTCTTTTATTTGCAACCAAAGCGACAGATTTATTACTGCTTGATTGTACACTGATAAAGTGACTGTTTGTTTATTTTCTGTCCTGACTCTAAGCATCTTTTTGCAAGTAATTTAATTATACATCTGTCAGAGAACTAAGAAGTGCAAAGGAACACTTTTAAAACCGTCACAGGCTAACTGAGTCTAATGCAACTTGTGTACAGTGTGATCTGAGGTAGCCTGGCATTGTCAGCCAGCCGTGTTGGTAAAAGCATAGTCCTTTTATATTCAAAGTAGGCATATATAAAAACACAGCTTATCTGCAGCAAACAAAGAACACAAAAATAGTCCATACTTTTGGTTTAGAATTGCAAAGTTCGTTAAATGTTCGCTGCCACCATACAAGTCCTACTCTGTGTTTTTTGGGTTTCCTATTGGCCTCAGGGATCCCAAGGAGCAGGTTTTCACAGCTCAGCCACTGTTGTTCAGTCCACCCTGTTCACATGGGTGTCCAGCTCACAGAGAACTAAAAACCGGTCCTCTTCTCTCTAGCCTGACTATCCCGGAACTCCTCGCTCTGCATGGGTGAGAGCCATGACCCCAAACTGTCAGCATCATACATTGGTGGCAGCAAGGGGAAGGGTTTACACATTCTCCTGGCTGCTACATCAGCAATGTTAGGTGTAAATCTGACAAGCTGACTGCCAACGTCTATTGACCCCTGATGGTGCACTACACGCGTTACATATTGCTGTATAAAATAAAGAAAAGTGAGCGCACTTCAGTGAGCGGCTAATGCACAAAAAAAGGAACTACAAGCCCTTCCAACCAGAATAGAAACAATAAAGTGCAGCGCTACAAATAATATCCAAGTGACAATTACATTATGCGGTCATCAAATATAGGAATTTGAAGATGATAAACAGTTCACCGTGATGGGGGACTCTCAGGGAGTATAGATGCAATCCAATCCCAGGAATAGATAAATTGCCTGCTTACCAGAAGCGCAATATTAATACGCATGTACAGGTTACATGTAGCCGGGGTCCCATGTAGGCGCTGCTTTATAGTACCCAGATGGTCCGTCGGTGGTAAGACGATGCTGGCCTGGTCGGATCACACTGCTCCTTGGATCCACGCAGAGAACCTAAAAATGCTGGGGCTGAGGTATGGGAACTCAGTGCCAGATGTAAGGAGTAAGAATACTCATAGTGTAGTATGTTTTAAAATTATTTATTAAATCCAAAACGTAAACCATAAAAGTTACAAAGCGCATGCCTGCAGCCTGTAGCCAGTATAAGCAGCTTGAAAAAGAGATTCTATACACTGACCAGTGAATACCAAAGTGGGCCGCCGGACCCCTGCCCCGGCGGCCCACCTCCTCCCCGTTCGCACGCCTCGTACGCCGCCGGGTGGCTGTACCTTTGGTATTCAGGTCAGTGGCTGGGCTACAGGCTGCAGGCATGCGTTTTGTAACTTTTATGGTTTACGTTATTGTAATAAATAATTTTTAAAACATTATGAGTATTCTTACTTTTGGCACTGAGTTCCCATACCTCAGCCCCAGCATTTTTAGGTTTTCTGCGTGGATCCAATGAGCAGTGTGATCCGACACCAGCATCGTCTTAGAACCGACGGCCATCTGGGTACTATAAAGCAGCGCACATGGGACCCCGGCTACATGAACCTGTACATGCGTATTAATATTGCGCTGGTAAGCAGGCAATTTATCTATTCCTGGGATTGGATTGCATCTATACTCCCTGAGAGTCCCCCAACTGAATTTTATCATCTTCAATAGAATATTTGGTTGGCTGTATACACTGGAGTGAGTGCATAATGAGGGTCATAACCTTTGTCCTTTTATAGCATTACTTTACTTTTGAGTGAAGTTCGTTGTCATTTCATTCATTGGTGCACACAATTTAAAGTTTGTACTGTATATTTACTTGGAGTAACTGCATCATTTTATACTTTACCAAAAACTTTAGTAATATGTTGCACTTGTGTGCACTAAAATTTAGTTAGACGCACAGTGTGGCTCTACACACCCCACCCCGTTGCCTCGTAACTGGCTGTGATCAGCAGTGGGGGCCCGGGGGAGAGCTGTATGAAGAAGATTATTTTTTTTTATTATTATTATTAATATTTTTACCTGATCAGAACCTTCTGCCTTTACAACAATTTTAAAAGAGAAATATCTTTTGAAAAATATAAACCTACATACTTGCCTAGGTGGAGGATGAACATCAGTGATACTGGTCCACTGCCGGCTCTCTGTTCAGACCACTGATCACTCAGTTCTCGGCTTCAGTGAGCAGAGATCTGCTGTTAGTCACTGCTTTTGCTCTGCTTTTGGAGGAGGCAGGAGCGGCTTGCTCAGGGTCATATTGCTGCTCTGAGAGGCTAAATTCAGCCAACAGCAGGCGTTGGCTTGCTGATGGCTGAATACAGATCACAGGAGTGCATGACCTACAGGGGAAGTAGGGCCAAAAGAGCTTTGTCAGTACAGTATAGTCAGTACATTACTTTGTAGTTGTTTGATAAACATGTTGCCTTGAATTCAGTTTAACATACAATTCTGTCAATAAAGCAAACCTTGAAATATAAGTGATAAAAACATTTTAACCTAAAGTGATTGTAAAGCCATACTTATTTTTTAAAATAACAAACCTGTTTTATTTTACCTGCTCTGTGTAATGGTTTTGCACAAAGCAGCCTCGATCCTCCTCTTCTGGGATCCCCTGCCAGGGATCTTGGTTCCTCCCCCACCGAATGCCCACCATAGCAAGTCACTGGCTATGGCGGCACTCATGCAGGCTCGCTACAAAGCATAGCTTGGTACTAACCGATCCCCCTATTCTCCCCACTGCTCCCGTCCCCCCACTCCCTCTCCACCGGCTGTGACTGACCGCATTGGGAGCAAATGGCTATGAGGAGGAAGAGGGCCACTGCTCTTGTGCGCAGCAGCGCTGGATCGATATGGGCTCATATCCGTATAACGGGGGACTGGGGCAGAGAATGCATTAAGGTAAATTTAAAAAAAAATTTCCGCTTTTAGAACCTTTTTAAACATATAGAACATAAAGAATCAAAAGTGGGTTGAGAATTACTTCTAAAAAAACTGATTAAATCTAAAACATTACAGTTAAATTTTTATCGGATTTTTTCCCCTTTGGCGGGATTTTCCCTCACTTCCTGATGCTTTTAATGTCCATAGAAGAAATTATGGTGGAGGGGGGAGCAGTCGTTACCAGGACAGAAAGGCAGGCACATCAGGGGCATGCTTCGTCACAATAATAAAACTGTGTTTGTCTGTATCCCCATTGTAGCGAATTTCCTTTACATTCTGTCAGTAGGTGAGATATTAATAAACCTAAAAATGTCACTATCCTTTATCCCAGGTAAAGTTCATGAAGACTATTCCAGGCACAGCTCTTGTAGAAATGGGTGATGAGTACGCTGTGGAAAGAGCAGTCACACATTTGAATAATGTGAAAGTCTTTGGAAAAAGGCTAAATGTTTGGTAAGAACCTTATTTATAGTATATAGAAGCCAGTACTTTTTGGCTTTGTGGTTTGAAAGGCCTGTTTTGTGCATCTGTGATATTTTCTCACTTAAAGGAAGGTGTGATGTTTGGCTCATAAGCCCACCACTAAAGAGCTGCCATCCACTGACATCTTCGTCCGGTTTTCATTCAGGTTCTAATTTTTCTTCCGTGAATCAGCGGGAGTTCAATCTCCTTAGCAGATTCTTAAATTGTACACTCTGCGCTTTCTTATATACAGTGAGGAACAGAAGTATTTAAACACCCTGCGATTGTGCAAGTTCTCCCACTCTGAGAGAATTTTAAAAAAAATTCAGGAAATCACATTGTATGATTTTTAAAAAAAATTCAGGAAATCACATTGTATGATTTTTAAAGAATGTATTTGTCTTGCACTGAGTATTTGAACACCTGAGAAAATCAGTGTTAATATTTGGTACAGATGCCTTTGTTTGCAGTTACAGAGGTCAGACGTTTCCTGTAGTTCTTGACCAGGTTTGCACACACTGCAACAGGATTTTGGCCAAGTTCTCCACACAGATCTCCTCTAGATCTGTCAGGTTTTGGGGCTGTCACTGAGCAACACAGAGTTTCTGCTCCCTTCAAAGATGTTCTATTGGATTTAGGTCTGGAGACTGGCTAGGCCACTCCAGAACCTTGATATGCTTCTTATGGAGCCACTCCTTGGTTATCCTGGCTGTGTGCTTCGGGTCCTTGTCATGTTGGAAGACCCAGCCACGACCCATCTTCAATGCTCTGACTGAGGGAAGGAGGTTGTTGCTCAAAATCTCACAATAAATGGCCCCATTCATCCTCACCTTATTACAGTGCAGTCGTCCTGTCCCCTTCACAGAAAAGCACCCCCAAAGCAAGATGTTACCACCCCCATGCTTCACAGTAGGGATGGTGTTCTTGGGATGCAACGCATCCTTCCTTTTCCTCCAAACACGACGAGTGAAGTTTAGACCAAAAAGTTCTACTTTGGTCTTATCTGACCACATGACTTTCTCCCATGCCTCCTCTGGATCATTCAGATGGTCATTGGCAAACTTCAGACGGGCCTGGACATGTGATGACTTGAGCAGGGGAACCTTCCGTGTAATGCATGATTTGAAACCATGACGGCATAGTGTTCTACCGACAGTGACCTTGAAACTGTGGTCCCAGCTCTCTTCATGTCATTGACCAGCTCCTCCCTTTTTAGTTCTGGGCTAATTCCTCACCTTTCTTATCAGTGATACCCCACGAGCTGAGATCTTGGATGGAGCCCCAGTCCGAGGGAGACTGACAGTCGTCTTTAGCCTCTTCCATTTTCTAACAATTGCTCCAACAGTTGATCTATTTTCACCATGCTGCTTGGCAATTGCCCCGTAGCCCTTTCCAGCCTTGTGGAGGTCCACAATTTTGTCTCTGGTGTCTTTTGACAGCTCTTTGGTCTTGCCCATGGTAGTACTTGGCGTCTGACTGACTTTGGGGTGGGCAGGTGTCTTTAAAGAGCTCAGACAGGTGCTAGTAAGTTAGATTAATGAGTGGAGTAGAGGTGAACTTTTTAAAGGCACAGTAACAGGTCTTTGAGAGCCAGAATTCTTGCTGTTTCTTAGGTATTCAAGTACTTATGTTCAGCAGTGCAAGACAAATACATTCTTTAAAAATCATACAATGTGATTTCCTGAATTTTTTTTATTAAATTCACCTACAATGTGAATTTCAGACCCCTCCATGATTTCTAAGTGGGAGAACGTGCAAAATTGCAGGGTGTTCAAATACTTCTGTTCCTCATGTAAGTGTCAGAATGTAGTAAACGTATCTACCCATGAATCACTGCGCAATATTTTTGCATTTACATAATGCTGTGACTTAAACTCTTCGAGAATGGGTAGTTAGAACTGACATTGTCACTTTTTCTATTTAAGGCCATCTCCTTGCTTCTGGATTGTCAGGCATTGCTTTGGCACGCTGGTGTTGCAGGCTTCCTGAACAGAAATCTGTGTACCCAGCTAGTGCAGTCCCTTAAATCAGGGCTTGACAAATCCTAGGCGCCAGGTCCACCACCTCCTCCACCTTCTATTTGAGGATGCCCCACAGATGCTCAATAGGGTTTAGGTCTAGAGACATTTTTGGCCAGTCCATCACCTTTACCCTCAGCTTCTTTAGCAAGGCAGTGGTCGTCTTGGAGGTGTGTTTGGGGTTATCATGTTCGAATACTGCCCAGTCTCCGAAGGGAGGGGATCGTGCTCTGCTTCAGTATGTCACAGTACATGTTGGCATTCATGGTTCCCTCAATAAACTGTAGCTCCCCAGTGCCGGCAGCACTCATGCAGCCCCAGACCATGACACTCCCACCACTATGCTTGATTGTAGGCAAGACACGCTTGTCTTTGTACTCCTCACCAGGTTGCCACCACACACACACTTGACACCATCTGAACAAAATAAGTGTATCTTGGTCTCATCAGACCACAGAATGTGGTTCCAGTAATCCATGTCCTTAGCCTGCTTGTCTTCAGCAAACCGTTTGGGGGCTTTCTTGTGCATCATCTTTAGAAGAGGCTTCCTTCTGGGACTACAGCCATGCAGACCAATTTGATACAGTGTGCGGTGTATGGTCTGAGCACTGACAGGCTGACCCCCTCCCCACCCCTTCAACCTCTGCAGCAATGCTGGCAGCACTCATACGTCTATTTCCCAAAGACCACCTCAGGATATGATGCTGAGCACATGCACTCAACTTCTTTGGTCGACCATGGCGAGGCCTGTTCTGAGTGGAACCTGTCCTGTCAAACCGCAGTATGGTCTTAGCCACCGTGCTGCAGCTCAGTTTCAGGGTCTTGGCAATCTTCTTATAGCCTAGGCCATCTTTATGTAGAGCAACAATTCTTTTTTTCAGATCCTCAGAGAGTTCTTTGCCATGAGGTGCCATGTTGAGCTTCCAGTGACCAGCATTAGAGAGTGCAAGCGCCATTCACACCTGAGACCTTGTAACACTAACAAGGCACATGACACTGGGGAGGGAAAATGGCTAATTGGGCCCAATTTGGACATTTTCACTTAGGGGTGCACTCACTGTGTGTGTGTGTGTAAATTTGTTTTTATTCTTTTCCGATAAAATACCTGCTGATCTTACCAGTTCACTTTTCCTCCTCCTTAATCTGATCATGGAAAGCAGATCCATGTGGGCATGGTCAGTTTGTGTATGTGGACTTGTAGCTACAGGACGCTGTAGCTGTATCTCCTGTGGTCAAATTTATAACCCCGCCTCCCTCCCAGCCCCAAATTTACACAAAGGATACCACCAGACCATTGCACAAATAAATAGAAGTTCAATAGAAGAAGGCTGCACCTCCCCCTTAAGTACATACACCGCCAGCTTAAAACCCAACACTCTCTTTTGCAGACCTCACAACATTTCTGCAACCCCCATTCACAGGCTGACACACCTCCTGTTTTGCCCTGTCTGAAATGACTGACAGCAGCTCCTATCTGTATCAGAATACTGTGTCCTACAGAGAGAGAGAAAGAGATCCCCAGCTGTGCCTTGATCACCTTATCTGTGACACTCTCCCTTCAGCAGCTGGGTAAGTGGATCGCTCTCTGCAGAAGGCCCCTTTCATATAGGCATTCAGTTTGTCCATTTTTCATTCATCCATTGATGGATGAAAAGCAGACATCAATGAATCTCTATGGAAAAACAGATGTAAATGGATGATCATCCGTTTACATCCGCATTCGTCAACATCTGTTTTTTGGGAGCGGGTCAATGCCCAATTTTTGTTCCGTAAAAACAAACGAAGACGAAAAATGGATTTAAATGGACAAAATTGTTTGTTTTTTGCATTTGTTTTTGCGTTGGTAGTGGATGTAAAAAAACTGATATAAAAACTGATTCTTTAAAAAAAAAGTGACAGAACTGATGAAAAAAACAGAATACCTGCGTGAAAAGGGGACTTAAATCGCCTGCTGTATGCAGTGTGCCTTTGACAGCATGACTCCTGACAGGAGTCGCTGTCCATCATTCCATGTAGAGCTGAAAGAACTAAACTAAGAGAGCAGTGCCTTCCCAAATACAGAACACTTGCACAATGCAGAAACTAATCCACATTTCCCCAGCTGTTAAAAGCAGATTATGACAGGTGAGGTCAATCAGAGTATTGCTATCTGCATAAAGAAATGTACCCCTCGCCCTTCTTGGAGGAGGTAATTAGCACATTTTTATTACAGTAAATGTGAAATATTTATGGGTATATATGATCTTATAGATGTAACCCCTGGCTTAGTTTCATATACTTTACAGATGCTTTATCTTACCTACTGAAGCTCATGTTCAGTGCATACTTTGTAACTGTTTACAGAGTGCTTTTACATCAAAATAATGTTGCTTTTGTGCCTTTTTATATGTCTCTTTAAAAAAAAAAAAAATGAAAGCTGATCTCCAAGCTTGGTGAAGGTAGAGAGTTTGTTCACCACATATAGGTAGCTTTGTATTCTATGATAAACATGAAGCTTTCCTCTGTTTGGCTGAGTTGGCGATCATGACGTCATCTGTCTGCTTCTCTGTCTCATCCAGTCAGAGGAAGATTTACACTATATTGCCAAAAGTATTGAGATGCCTACCTTTACACACACTTGAACATGGCATGGCATCCCAGTCTTAGTCCGTAGGGTTTAAAATTGAGTTTGCCCACCCTTTGCAGCTATAAAAGCTTCAACTGTTCTGGGAAGGCTGTCCACAAGGTTTAGGAGTGTGTCTATGGGAATGTTTGACCATTCTTCCAGAAGCACATTTGTGAGGTCAGGCACTGATGTTGGACAAGAAGGTCTGAACCCCCTGAAAAACAACCCCACACTATATTCCCCCCTCCACCAAATGTTGCACTTGGCACAATGCAGTAAGTATCATTCTCCTGGCAACCATCAAACCCAGGCACGTCTATCGGATTGACAGACAAGCATGATTCGTCACTCCAGAGAACACGTCTCCACTGCTCTAGAGTGCAGTGGAGGCATTCTTTACACCACTGCATCCAATGCTTTGCGTTGCACTTGGTGATGTAAGGCTTGGATGCAGCTGCTCGGCCATAGAAACCCATTCCATGAAGCTCTCTGTGCACTGTTGCTGTGCTAAGCTGAAGACCACGCAATGTTTGGAGGTCTTTGGCGATTGACTCTGCAGACAGTTGGCAACGTCTGCGCTCTGTGCGCTTCATCATTCACTGACCCCGCTTTGTCATTTTACGTGGCCTACCACTTCATGGCTGAGTTGCTGTTGTTCCCAGTTACTTTCATTTTGTTATGCCACTAACAGTTGACTGTGGAATATTTAGTAGCAAGGAAATTTCACAGATGGACTTATTGCACAGGTGGCAACCTATCATGGTACCACGCTTGAACTCACTGAGCTTCTAAGAGCGACCCATTCTTTCACAAATGTTTGGAGAAGCAGTCTGCATCCCTAGGTGCTTTATTTTATACACCTGTGGCTATGGAGGTGATTGGAACACCTGAATCCAATGATTTGGAGGGGTGTTCCAATACCTTTAACAATATAGTGTATATTCATTCATAGAATATTAAGCTCCCTGTGAACGGCTGAGCAGGTTTCAACCCTGCTTGATTTTGTTCTGGGAGTGGGACAGGGAGGTCTTACTCCCCTGCCAGAACACTGTATGCAGCTGAGGCTATGTAATACAGTTTATATGGTGCTTCCAGACGCTGCATATGTTAGCTAAGTAAATAGTTTGTTTGGACCAACTTGGTCCAAATGAACTGTTCAGGCTTCACTAAAAGTTGAAGATCAGCTTTAAAATGTGACCGGCTTCACAGTTGCTCAATAATGTTTTAAAAACAAATAATCCACAAAAGAACTCCCAAAATACCCTTTGGTGTGCGCAAGGGCAAGTAAGGTAATGTATTCTTATCAATACAACGGGCTATAACAGTTTATTGTAGCAATATCTAGTGATAATTTTGCAGCAGCATACGGTATATAATCATGCTTATTGCGTCCAAAGCCTGTACTTCACTTACGTATACTGTGTACAATAAATACCACACATTATACACTATTTTTTCACTTTTTATGGATTTTACAGACATTTTTTGTCATATTAGTGCACACTTCTCTTCCAGCAAGAATCTTGCATATACAGGTGAAATTCGAAAAATTAGAATATCGTGCAAAAGTTCATTTATTTCAGTAATGCAATGTAAAAGGTGAAACTAATATATGAGATAGACTCATTACATGCAAAGCAATATAGTTCAAGCCGTGATTTGTCATAATTGTGATGATTATGGCTTACAGCTCATGAAAACCCCAAATCCACAATCTCAGAAAATTAGAATATTACATGCAATCAATAAAACAAGGATTGTACATAGAACAATATCGGACCTCTGAAAAGTATAAACATGCATATGTACTCAGTACTTGATTTGGCCCCTTTTGCAGCAATTACTGCCTCAATGCGGCGTGGCATGGAAGCTATCAGCCTGTGGCACTGCTGAGGTGTTATGGAAGACCAGGACGATTCAATAGCGGCCTTCAGCTCTTTCACCTTTTAAGTTACATTACTGAAATAAATGAACTTTTGCACGATATTCTAATTTTTCGAGTTTCACCTGTATACCAGGCAATTGTCATATGGCCTTAAAGAATATGTTAATCTAATATTTCATATTCCTGATATGTGCCTGCTGTGCCATGTACTTGTATGAAAAAGTATCCTTTTCTCTTTTGTATTGCTTCCAAATCCTTGGAGTTCCTGTCATTCTCTCTCCTTTCCCATTAGAAACTGACCCCACTAGGCAGGAGAACACATCTTGGTCAGTTCCCTAGCTATGCTGGGTGCTCAGTGATCAGACTCTCCCCGCACACAGCCATTCACTGGAAAGTGTATTGCCATGTCTCCTCCCCTAGTTCCTATGCAGCTGAGAACAGACAGTATGTGATCGCTTTATTAAAAAAAAAAAAAAAAAAAAATCTATATACAAATGTTTTGCCTTTCATTTCTATTTTAAATTGAACTGAATAGGTTGTGTTACATGATGAGGGTTTACAATCACTTTAAAAACACTATAGAAATTCTTATTTTTATTTTTGTTATGCTGCCACTTAGCTTTAATTTCAACTCTGGAGCATACACTGCTTTAGAAACACTATTTGATAGTGAACTTGCTGTATGCACCCTGTACCTGATGATGTTTGTGTTTCTGTGTGCATAGTAAATACTTTGAGCCAATGCATCTCCTTGGGCTTGTGTAGATGGGCATATACAGCTTACTTTACTTTATTTGAAATAAGAAGAGACCTTTCCTGAGAACATTCACAGTTGGACTGGCGCATTTACCCTGCAGTGGACCTCTTTCTATAGAAGCTGTATGCAGCAAAAAAAAAACGTTCTGACATAAAAGCCTATCAAGACAGGCCCTAAGGCAGATATCCAACATTGAGTGTACTGTAGATCCAACTGAAATGTATCAGGGTATTATAGAGAAATATGTAAATAGAACTGGCATTTAAAATCCTAATGCTTTATTTTTCTCATTTCAGTGTATCAAAGCAGCATTCTGTTGTCCCAAGTCAGGTTTTTGAACCTGAAGATGGTAGTTACAAGGATTTTTCAATGAGTAAAAATAATAGATTTACCAGTGCTGGTCAGGCCTCCAAGAACATTATCCAACCGCCATCTTGTGTTCTGCATTTTTATAATGTCCCCCTAACAATGGACGAAAGTATATTTCAGAAGGTAATCTATTATGCTTTTCTTCATTTTTTTATTTGGGCAGTGGAAGGTGCTAGAATCTGCCTGATACGGGTAAGGCTTGCAAGAAAAGGGCTGTAAAGTAGTACATTCTTTTCCCATCTGAGTCAGTTATATTTTAACATGTATTTGCATATATGCATGCATGCACAATTTGTACTCTGCTTATATTTGTCTTCAATGGTTTCTCCTTTGCCCCATCAACATGCTAATGAAACGTTTTAAACAAAACGTTTTGGTTTTCATTTCATACCTTTTATATAAGAACCAGTGATGTCGTCATCGTTCGGTCTCTGTGCTTATCTTTGCAACGCAAACAGATCATGGCTAATGGGAGGGGTACGTAGCTCTCTAAACCATCACACCTCAATCTCTACTTTAAAGTTGCTGTAAACCCTTACTTATGTTCAGTAAAGTGATTAACCTCAGGTGATGCACAACATGCATAACAAATCCTCCTACATAGGTTGTACCTACAGTTGCAAGAAAAAGTATGTGAACCCCTTGGGATTACGTGGAGTTTTGCATGAATTGGGCATAAAAATGTGCTCTGAACGTCATCTAAGTCACAACAATAGAAGAACACAGTCTGCTGAACATAATACCACACAAACATTAAATGTTGCCATGGTTTAATTGCACATAACATGTAAACATTCACAGTGCAGGGAGGAAAAAAAGTATGTGAACCTTTGGATTTAATAACTGGTTGACCCTCCTTTGGCAGCAATAACCTCAACCAAACGTTTCCTGTAGTTGCAGATCAGACCTGCACAATGATCTGGAGTCATTTTGGACCACTCCTCTTCTCAAAACTGTTTCAGTGTAGCAATATTCTTGGGATGTCTGGTGTGAATCGCTCTCTTAAGGTCATGCCACAGCATTTCAATCGGGTTGAGGTCAGGACTCTGACTGGGCCACTCCAGAAGGCATATTCTGTGCTGTTGCAGCCATTGTTTTGTTGAATTACTTGTATGCTTTGGGTCATTGTCCTGTTGCATCACCCATCCTCTGCGGAACTTCAGTTGGCGGACAGATGGTCGTACGTTTTCCTGCAAAATGTCTTGATAAACTCTGGAATTCATTTTCCCATCAATGACAACAATCCGTCCAGGCCCTGAGGCAGCAAAGCAGCCCCAAACCATGATGCTGCCTCCGCCATGTTTTACAGTGGGGATGAGGTTTTGATGTTGGTGTGCTGTGCCTTTTTTCTCCACACATAGTGTTGTGTGTTCTTCCCAAACAACTCAATCTTGGTTTCATCTGTCCACAGTGTATTTTGCCAGTAGTACTGTGGAACATCCAGGTGCTCTTTTGCAAACTTCAAACGTGCTGCAATATTCTTTTTGGACAGCAATGGCTTCCTCCGTGGTGTCCTCCCATGTACTCCATTCTTGTTTAATGTTTTCCTTATTGTACATGTGTCAACAAAAATGTTAGCATGTGCCAGAGATTTCTGTAGGTCTTTTAGCTGACACTCTGGGATTCTTCTTTACCTCATGCAGCATTCTGTGCTGTGCTCTTGCAGTCATTTTTACAGGACGACCACGCCTAGGGAGAGTAGCAACAGGGCTAAACTTTCTCCATTTGTAGACAGTCTGTCTTACCGTGGACACATGAACATCAAGGCTTTTGGAGATACTTTTGTAACCCTTTCCAGCTTCATGCAAGTCAACAATTCTTGATCGTAGGTGTTCTGAGAGCTCTTTTCTGCGAGGCATGGTTCACATCAGACAGTGCTTCTTGAAACCAGTAAACCCAAAACAGGTGTGTGTTTTTTTTAAGGGCAGGACAGCTGTCAGCAACACATCCGATATCATCACACTGATTGGAGTCAAGGTTGGCTCACTCCTGGCTCCAATTAGCTCTGGGAGAAGTCATTAAACTAGGGCCTCACATACTTTTTCCTCCCTGCACTGTGAATGTTTACATGTTATGTGCAATTAAACCATGGCAACATCTAATGTTTGTGTAGTATTATGTTCAGCAGACTGTGTTCTTCTATTGTTGTGACTTAGATGACATTCAGAGCACATTTTATGCCCAATTCATGCAAAACGCCACGTAATCCCAAGGGGTTCACATACTTTTTCTTGCAACTGTATTTATCTATAGCAATCACTTCTCTACATCCTCCTAAAACACATAGCTCAAAGGCTATTTCTCAGCAGTAGAAGGCAGGGGGTGGGTCTCTGACATTATACTCTGTACAACTAGAGCACAGAGCTCAGTGGAACCTAAAGCCTAAGGGGATGGAATGGCAACACCCAGCTCTACACAGAATCCTAGGGAAATATGTTTAGCTGAGGCTGTCAGATGCTGGAGGGGGGTGGGCTGTCACCTAGGATGTTTTGGCGTGGGTTGGACTGTTACAGATAGCAGAGGGAAGAGACAGCAGAGAGAAATGACACTCAGTGCTTTGGATTGAGGCTAGCCTACACTATAGAGGATATGCTTTGTTCACGTTTCATGATAGAGATTTACAACCACTTTAATCTCAATTTAGGCAGAAGACATGGCCCTGCCGATATTAGTCTATCCTGACACAACAGCATCTTGGTTGACAGCTTGCTCCCTCCTCTAGCATACAGTAGGTGACTGACAGCCTCAGGTGTGTATGTTTCCCTATGAAAGTGTGTAGAGGGGAGCTTGTCAATCCCCCTTCATTCAGGTTAAAGGCGTGTGTGTGTGGTCTCAGATCATCGCCCCCTGCCTTCTACTGCTGAGAAATTGCCTTTAATCTGTGCAATTTCCATGGATATAGAGAAGAGAGAGCTGCAGATAAACATACAACTTATGTAGGAGGATTTGTTTCGGCTCTTTGTATCACCTGAGGCCAGTCACTTCCCTGGATATATGTAGGGCTTTACAACTATATTAAGTGTATTAATTATCTGCCCAATGCTATCAACTGTCAAATGTCACACCCCTACTGCTCACTGCAGCTGGGCCATTTGCCATTGCATAACAGATGGTGGAGCTTATGTGTGTCAGATATAAACCATCTTGTTTCACTGATGCAGTTTTCTTCTCATGTTCTGTTTCAGTTATTGATTCAGAGTAAAAAGTTTGCTACAGTTAGATTTATGGTAAAAGTGTTAAACAGACACTAATTTTGTCATGAATTTTTTATGGCAACAAATTTTGCTGACATGGGTCTGGATTAGAAATAAAATTGTAATAATTTCAGTGTCCAAACTTCCTAATATAGCAACCTAGAAAGCATACCTAGTCTAACTGTGGAATGGGCTACCCTGCTATGTCAGCCTGAGCTAAAATATTTCAGCTGGGGGGGTACTCATCTTTCGAAGTGCAGATACTTATATGCAAAAGTAATTATGCTTTAGAGGCCTTTCATACAGAAACCTTTACCTTGTTTAAAAAAATATTTATACAATGATGTCCCCATGCTGCTCCAAAATTATTTTTACTACTAGCTTTTCAAGACGTTGCTCCCACCTCTGTTTAATCACCAACTCAAAAAAACTGAAATAAATATCAATGGCGTAGCGCTTCTCCCTTTTTTTTCTTATTAGAAACCATATATCATTCAGTGAATTTTATACAGTGCGTCTAATATTTACATGTATGTGCGGTTTATGAGTTTTTGTTATCCATATTTATGGACTAATAGCAATGTAGCTGCCTACCACTCCTCTTATACCCTCAGTGGGATAAAAATTACAAAATACATCATTTGATTGGTCTTTATATCACACTATTGGATTAATTTGAGGAGGAAGCACATATAGTATGTAAGTGCTGCACACATGCGGGAGGAAGGTGGAAGGAGGAAGGTGTTTTTTTTATAGCACCATTTAGTAGCTCCACACTATAATTTTGTATACATGTCAATAACTTTCCATATGCAACAATTGATCCCTCAAAATAAAAATTCTACGTGATTAAAATTCCCAGTTAACATGTGCCAGTTTGCTTATGCAAAACACAATTTGTGTGTCCAAAAACATCTTCCAAACTTTCACCACTGTGAATATCTAAATCCTTGTCAGGTGATGTGCTTCCAGCTATCCCAATCTCCACTTTACTCCAGGCCACCTTGCGTTTTAAGCCTAGGTTCACACTTGTCCACAGTCCGTGGGCTGGTTTCAGATGCAGGAATCTGCTGTTCCCGCACCCACAACCAAATTGTACTGCTCTTACGAGATGTGGGTGGCTGCCATTTGTTCTGATTGGCACCCCCAGGCATTTCAACCCACAGCAGGTTAGTGGGTGTGGGAACCGCAAGAAAAGTGCATGGTCAAAAAGACCTAGCAGTTTCCCTTCAGCCACATTTTTAAAAAGGTGCATGCACTTTTTTTCTACAGGAAACGCGGGCAAAGCAGCCTATTCAAATGAATAGGCTACTGTGCCTAAGCAGACGCAAGCCACACAGCCCGCAATAGTGTGATCTCCGCCTGAGGGTGTGCCATTACCTTATGTGGACCTCATATGTAGCCAGAGGCCTAATATAGATTTGAACACCAAAGTTCCAGGGACCCCTCACACTGGCTGGGATTTCCTTCTGTTTAACCTATCCTCAAGGGTTAAAATCTCAACATAGAAAGGACATATGCAGAGTACTAATAGTGCAGTATATTTTTAAAATGTATTATCGACAAAATTAGTTACTCACTTAAAAGCAGTACATATCCGCTTCACATCCAAGAATCATTGCAGCTTCCTCTCCTGTCACTCTCTTGGCTCTGCAAATTTTTCTAATTCGTGCCAAGTGGTTGGTACATGCAAACTTTCACTCCAATCAAAAGTGAAATACCCATTTAACTAAAGGTAAATTTCAACAGATTTGGCCTAACCGTTAAATTCAGTTCTCTGCTACCAAACATATATTGCATTTCTAAAGCATTTAAGTTGAATCACCTGTTATATTCTTGTAGCTATTGGAGATTCTAGTGATAAGTAGTTTGGTCTCCGAAAACACAATACTAAAGGTGTCATTCATTACTCACAGGGAACGCCCAAAGGATGTAAAAAAAGCAAAATGAAAACCTCAACTATGTAAAACTGAAATCTCATCTTGGTTGGTGTTTACTTTTACACTGACGTCAGACTGCATTGACAGTATAGTCTCTGCTGGCTTTTCCTGAACAGCACCCATATGTAGCATAGAAAATTAATAACTGCCTTACTACTGAAAGCTCACTTTGCACTTTTGTGTTTATTGTTAATGCATATGCCTGTACGTTTCTTGGTTTAATTACATCTTCATGTTTTTATCTTAGCTCTGCGAAGACCATGACGTTCCCAAATTCATCAAATACAAAGTGTTTGATGCAAAACGTTAGTAGAACTTAAACTGTCATAGAATAAGATTCGTGGTGGTGGTGCTAGCCTATTTTACATCCCTATCCTGGCTTTCTTCTACAGCTTCATCTAAAACATTGTCTGGCCTGCTAGAATGGGAAACAAAGAATGAGGCTGTTGAAGCACTCACGGTATTAAATCACTATCAAGTAAGAGTACCAAGTAAGTTAACTTTCTGTTTCAAACATTATGCAGTAAAATGACTCTACAGGAGGTCAAAAAGTGACTGTCAGTATGTGCTTCAATTGTTTCACATTCTGAGATAAGCTGACATGTCTTTCACCATTTACAAAACTAGTTGCAAACTAAAACAAATTTAAATTTAAAGCGGATCATACACATGGAGAAAACAACTTTGGATGGCTCATTTTACGTAAACCAGTTGCAGCACTGGTTCTGCATCAATCTAAGCATGGTTTCTCCATTTGGCAGTTGTTAAAATGGAGTTCCACCCAAAAGGGGAAGTTCCTCTTTAAGGGTTTTTTTCCCTTGCTCCCCATTAAGAATTGGCACCCTTGGGGGTAACCGAATTTGACAGGTACCTGTTCCCACTTCTGCTGCGATTGCCTAGGTGATCGGAAGCAGAAGTTGTCCTCCGCACCTCCCCCACCTCACCCTACCTCCCTCCTAGTCTTCAGGGACACGTGACAGGGTCCCAGAAGACTACAGGTCCATTTACAAAGCGCAGAACTGTTCACGCAGTGGGCACCCGGCTGTGAAACCGCAAGCTGTCACAGCCGGGTGCCCACACTGAAGGTGCTGGCGCCAAGGAGACAGGACGGTTTGTCAACCCGGCCAGTGTGAGGACACCACGGGATCTAGGGTCAGGTGAGTGGATGTTTTTTTAAAACTCAGCAGCTACAGTTTTTGTAGCTGATGACTTTTTTTTTTTTAATTCCGAATAGACCTCCGCTTTAACACAATGGTGTCCTATATTTTTATGTACATTATTTGTAAAGCCAGCCTGCCACTGGATTCACCAAAACATGGATACTTTGATTCTCTGCTGACCTTGTGTCTTGGGTATAATCCTTTACCAGCCTATCTTGAAATTGCTGGAGGGAAAAACTCATCTGTAGTCTCTGGCACAAATATTGGCATCTGCTCACAAAAAAATCAAACAAAATTATACTAAAACTGCATAAATTAGGACATTTATAGGACATAGGAGATTTAGAAAAGGTTCAAATACAGGCAGCTACATTTTGATTAAACATATATGTTTACATACACCAAGTTTAAAGGTCTAAAAAGAAGTAAATATGATTTAATACTTTTGTCTAAATACTGTACATGAACAAGTTTGAATAAACTTTTATAAATCAGTCAGTTACATATGAAGGAAAGAGGAGTTTAGTGTTAGGGTCTTTTCACATGGGCCCTGTCCAGGGTCTCTTCAACAGGGAATCAATGAGCCAAAACAGGATTTATATTACTTTGTGTGACATTCATACTCGTTCAGCCTTTTTGTGTACTTTGACACCTTTTCATACCCCTGTGCAACCTAAGGGCAGCTGAATGAAAACAGACTTGCATCCGTATACATTAGGCTACTACTGATCCATCATGTTCAGATCCAGAAAACCGATAAAGGATGCAGTCTTTTTTTTTTCTGATGGGGATGGACTCTGAGGTAAAAGGTTGTAAATGAGCACACCTGTTTAGACCTGTCTGCCCATGGACTTACAGCAAAATTCCAATCTGGTCTGCCTGAAAAATTGACAGGCAGAACTTATTGGAAATCCAGTGTTAAAAAGACCCTTGGTGTAAGAAGGGTTTTTTGCACCATGAAAAAGGAAAAAAACATCTCATATTTAAGTCTCATGGTTAACCACTAATTGAATATGACAGGATAGTAATATTTGAATCCAGAGAATTGCTCTGTTTTTGTGCAAGCATGAAGTAATATTATCCCTAGGTGAAGGAAAATTGTACATTGTATCCTTTGGACTTAAATTGAGCTAAATCTGCTGCAGTTTGTGAAAAGCTGAAATGCACATGTTCTATTTTTCAACTGAAAAAGGTGTATGCAGTTTTTATTTTAACATGTAGGTTTCCTCAATAAACCACATCGCTCCTAAAGGTGACCATTCGCAGTAGCGTGTCACTAAAGTTGCACTAAAAGTTAAACCACATCCTCTCTACAACTAAACATTTTTTTTCAGTTGTCTGATTATTGTTGGTTGGTGGTCAAGCCTCCTGTTATACTAGCAACACGGTGAGCCAAAACAAATCATGTTCCAGGGCGTTTTTGTATTAGAATCCATAAAATCCTAGAGAGTAATTCTTTTAATGACAGACCTCAACACTAAAGCTGGGTATACACATTGAGTTTTTTTTTTTTGGTTTAATCTGAAGGTTGAACAAAAGACTCAAGTGATGTGGAATGCAGGGATCTCTCCTGCTGAGCTTTGTATTTCCCCACACCCCAGCATGCACTTACCAAATGCTGGTTTTCTAGCGCTACTGTTTAACATGATGGTTCTAACAACTAACTTCTGTTGCACAAATGTGTACCACATACCAAAATTTGTCCAGTTCCTGCTGAACCAGCCTAATCTCCATATGTGTATACCTAGTGTAAGACAAACCTCTGGTTGTAATTAATAGTTTTACATTTGGCTGTACTGTACAGAGAAGCAATTCTGTCACTAGCTAACCCCCCTGGCGGTATTCCCGAGTGTAGTTTGGGGTAAACTTTCAGTACCAGAAGCGGTAACCCCCGAGCTATACTTGGGATTACCCTGCAGCGTTGCTCTGGGATCCCTCCAGCACTTACCTTGTCCTGCGCTCCCGCAATGCCCCCCCTACAGTGTCCCCCGCCATCTCCTCCGGCCAATGCTGGCATCCATCTTCCGGGTTCCGTTTCCTGCAAGCGTCTGGACATACGGGGGGGGCGGAACCGGCGGGAAGTTAAAAAATTAAAAAATGTGATATTCACTGGATACACTATTATTATTATACAGTATTTATATAGCACCAAAAAGTTTGCTCAGCGCTGTACATTATAGTGAGAGACAATACAGTAACAATACAATACACGAGGGGTCTGAGGGCCCTGCTCCTTGGAGCTTACAATCTAAAATCCCATAGTATAACATTACTGTATCAAACCATTTCACATACATTTTGTCCCTAGTGCTTTGTCCTGTGCCCTGCCTGCATTTTTACTGTTCTTTCTGCCTGGAAACTGAGAAACGTCCATGGCGTCCAAAAAGCGTCCTTTTTAGGTCAAAAGTGGTTTTATACCAGCTAGAGAACAGCGATAGTAAATTAGAACCACTTGCAGAATTGAGTGATAATGATTTGTGGGGAAATTCGTCATCAGACACTGAAAACGATTTTGCGACTGAGCTCAGTGATGTGCGAACTTGACGCTATATTTCAAATTTCAGTGTTTTTTTGGTTTGATTACATTATTGAATTTAATTTATTATATTTTTTATGATTTATTATATTATAATTTATGATTTCGTGTTTCAAATTTTATCATACCCAGGATGTTTACTAAACTCTTGTTTGGACAGATTTCAGTGAGTTATTCCTAAGAATTACAGGCCTACAATGAAAAACATATTTTCCATGCAAAAAAAATGTACCGCTTTGAGCACAGAAATACACACATAATCAGACCACTAGGGAGGTTAAGTAAGAAATTGGCAAGTCAAAGTCTAGCCTGTAGAAAAAATTCATGGTACTTGCCTTCTCTGTTGCCTGTACCATTGATCTTTAGCCGGTTGAGGTGCTAAGGTTGCTGAAAAATCTCCAGCATTAAACTCCTTTTTAGGTATATATGTATGCTGTGGTTTCATCTGACAACTCCTGAAGCTCTTTAACCGCATTTATGATTTCGTGTTTTCAAATTTTATCATACCCAGGATGTTTACTAAACTCTTGTTTGGACAGATTTCAGTGAGTTATTCCTAAGAATTACAGGCCTACAATGAAAAACATATTTTCCATGCAAAAAAAATGTACCGCTTTGAGCACAGAAATACACACATAATCAGACCACTAGGGAGGTTAAGTAAGAAATTGGCAAGTCAAAGTCTAGCCTGTAGAAAAAATTCATGGTACTTGCCTTCTCTGCTGCCTGTACCATTGATCTTTAGCCGGTTGAGGTGCTAAGGTTGCTGAAAAAATCTCCAGCATTAAACTCCTTTTTAGGTATATATGTATGCTGTGGTTTCATCTGACAACTCCTGAAGCTCTTTAACCGCATGCCGCCCAGCCACTGTACATTTTATACGGTGGCAGGGCGGCACTCACAGGCAAAAACCACGTTTTAAAACGTGTGTTTTGTAAACAAATAGGGGGCGCGCTGCCGCCCTATTTGTCCTGTGGATCACCGCCGCAGATGTCAGTTGCCGGGTCACAGCTGCTCATTAGCGGCTATGTCCCGGCGATCGGCGGTTTTAAAAAAAACGAACGGTGACAGAGAGCACAGCTGCAGTAGCTGTGCTGTCTGTCACCTCTCTGTCAGCTCGAGGATGAGCTGATCGAGAAAGAATAGTTTCACTTTCTCGATCAGCCTTGTCCCGCCCAGTACACACCCCCGCCCCCTAGTAAAACACTCCCCTCACTCCTATAACCCTTCCCTGCTAAATAAAGTTAACCCCTTCCTCCCCATTGCCATTAGTACAGTGTCAGGTTTTTTTTTTTTTGCACTGATCACTATATTAGTGTTTTTGGGGATGTCAGTGACTCCAAGTCAGTACCCCCCAATGTCAGAATGTCCACCGCAGTCCCGCCATAAGTCGCTGGTCGCTGCCATAAGTCCCTGATCGCCGCCATAATTCGCTGATTGCCGCCATTATTAGTATAAAAAACCCCTAAAAATTCCAGTATCTTTTCCGCCATTTGTAAACGCTATAACTTTCACGTAAACCAATTAATTTACACGTATTGGGTTTTTTTTTAGCAAAGACATGTCGCAGAATGCATTTTGGCAGAAATTTATGACTAAATTTGATTTTTGCATTTTTTTTTTACTGGACATGTTTTATAGCAAAAAGTCCAAATATTGTTTTTTTTTTCCTCAAAATTGTCAGCCTTTTTTTTTTTATAGCGCAAAAAATAAAAACCGCACAGGCGATCAAATACCACCGAAAGAAAGCTCAATTTGTGGGGAAAAAAAAGGATGTAAATTTCATTTATGTACCATATTGCATGACCGCGCAATTGTCCGTTAAACTAGCGCAGCGCTGTATAGCAGAAAAATGGCGTAAATTGCAGTATTTATACCATAGTTTGTAGACGCTATAACTTCCACACAAAGCAATCAATATACACTTATTGGGATTTTTTTTACCAAAAAACACGTAGCAGAATACATTTTGGCCTAAATTTATAACCAACTTTGAGTTTACTATATATTTTTTATAGCTGAAAATAAAAAATATTGTCTTTCTTCAAAATTTTTGGCGTTTTTTTGTTTATAGCATGAAAAATAAAAAGCACACAGGTGATCAAATTACACCAAAAGAAAGCTCTATTTGTGTGAAAAAAAGGACGTAAATTTCGTTTGGGTGCAGCATTGCATGACCGCGCAATTATTAGTTGAATTAGTGCAGCGCCAAGTAGCAAAAAGAGGCCTGGTCATTAAGGGGGGTAAATCCTCAGGAGCTCAAGTGGTTAAGACAACAAAACCTAGTGGCAGGTGAAGTAATTAAGTATCTTTTGTACAGGCAGGGCACTTTTTTTTTTCTTTTTTTTTTCTTTTTCAAACTAGCAACAGTCCTTTTTACAGTTGTTTATACTTTTGAATGGTTCTGAATACTGACTACACTAGTCAACTAGTCAGTTTATTCATCATGTAGCTACAATTAAAATAGTTTGTAAAGTAACCAGTAATAACAAAAATATAGTAAATAGTAACTATGTGTATATATGTATGCATCTTCATTAAAAGCAGAATATTAATTTGTACCATGCAGAATTTACTATTTAAAAATTAAATGTTTTTTTTTTTCTGCAGATGGTTCAAATCCTTATACAGTGAAACTGTGTTTCTCTACCTCTTCCCATCTTTAAACAAGAGTATCACAGAGCTTTTGTACTCTGCATGGTTAACAATGCCTTGTAATGAATATATGTTAGGTGTTTAAAGCAGCACTACATGTTTTTATTATAAATGTTTGCCTAATTTAATATTGAATTATGCTAAAATAACATTAACAAAATGTATTTGAATATCCTGCAAATGGCCATTACCAGTAACTCTCATGGTTGAGGTTTTAGTCTCCATGTATATAACACCTGACTGGTGGTGTTTTGTTTTATGTATAAAGAAATATATAATGCTGCTTTTAATTTTGCATGTACGCATTCTCACTTAATTTCTTTGTGATACACAGAATTGTCAATATTTGTATTAATGTGCATTGTGTTGGTCCTAAAGTGGGTATGCAGTTTTAAATAAAACTTTCTTTCATAACCCTTTCTGTAGTAATGTGGAGAGTCCCCCATACCAGCTGCTGGGTTTTACTAGTAGCTACAACCTTGGTTATCACTTGCTGGGGAAGTCTAGTATTGTAGTCCTAACAAGAAAGACGTTTCTACTTTTGATGGGGCTGAGGAAGGTGGGAGCCCTTTCATGTTACTACGCAGAAGGGTAATTATCTGATTGGGGTTTTTCAGTGAAATTGGAAATCTGCTTTGTTTTATAGGAAACAGTGTTTATTGGGAAATAGTGATATATACAGTATGTAATCTACATCTGATAAACATTCATAAATACTGTTATGTCATCAGTGTGCATAATTGGAAGTACATTTTAAAAACCTTCATGTTATTAGTGCAGCGTTATTAGTAATATTAAAGACAGATTTTTAGACTTTTTTTTTTTTTTAAATAGTTTTAGCTTCTTTAATTTGAACATTCATGATGTTTTATAGCATCTGATAAAATGGGCTTTCCGTCTTTGATGGAAGGTAGAAGCCCCTTCCATTTTGTCTAAAGTTATGACTACATGGTTGTGTTTCTTTAATATTGTGAATCAGCTGTTTGAACTATGTCATTCAGGAAAAATAAGGAAAAAGAAAACAGCATTTGTATTTACATGTGATTGGATGATGGCAGTCAGCAGACCTTCACCTCATTCCCTAAGCTCATTTCAACCTGCTGATTAGTGGCAGTACCCTGTTTTATGACCATTCACACAAAATGGGGGAACTTTCCATCTGTAAACCTGATAGAAAACACTTAAGAGAATAGGTGTACTATTAAAACAATGACTTTAATATCAGTAGACACATCAAACAAGTTTGCAGATATATAATTTTACATTTCTCTTGCATTTGTATGTTACATTGGGATCATTAACCACTTCCTGCCCGGCCTATGGCCGAATGGCGGCCTGCAAAAACCCTCACCTTTCCGGGTGGACGCTATATGGCGTCCTTTCGGGCATGGCCATTCTACACGTCTGCAGAGCCGCGCAGCGACGCGATTTGTCCGATGACAGATCTGAGTACCGGCCCCGTTTCCGGTACCATGCGACCTGCTGTGACCAATCACAGCAGATCACATGACAGTTGTATACAATGGATGGCTTCATTCATGCCATCCATTGTATACTAGTGTGCGTAGCTGCGAATGGTCACAGCAATCACATGCACAAGCTGGGCCAATCACAGCCCAGCTGTGTCATGTGATTAGCCATGGACAAATCACAGCTAAGCACAAAAAAAAAAAAAAAACCCTGAATGAATCGTCATTCAGGTAAATGCTTGCTTGTAATTCTTTGCTATAAGCAAATTGTGTAAAAAAAAAAAAAAAAAAAAAAAAATACTTCCCCAAAGTAGTACAATGTTACTACGGTAACATTGTACTACTTTAGTCATAGTGAAATATGAAAAAAAAAATCTTAAGAAAAAAGTAATAAATTAAAAATATTTTTTTTTTTTAAAATATGATGTTATATGATGATAGTTATATGATGACGCTATACTGCACTGGTGACAGTATGTAAAAAAAAAAATAGCAAAAATAATTTTTTTAATTTTTGAATTTTCCGAAAAATTATGACAAAAATACAACTTCAAAAAACTCGCCATGCCTCTTATGAAGTATGTCGGACTGTCTACTTTGCAAAAAGGGGTCATTTGGAGGATATCTGTACTGTTCTGACATTCTTGGACCTCAAGAAATTAGATTGGCTGTCAGTACTTCAGGATTGATCAATATTCAGATACAGTGAGGTCCATAAATATTGGGACATCGACACAATTCTAACATTTTTGGCTCTATACACCACCACAATGGATTTGAAATGAAATGAACAAGATGTGCTTTAACTGCAGACTGTCAGCTTTAATTTGAGGGTATTTACATCCAAATCAGGTAAACGGTGTAGGAATTACAACAGTTTGCATATGTGCCTCCCACTTGTTAAGGGACCAAAAGTAATGGGACAGAATAATAATCATAAATCAAACTTTCACTTTTTAATACTTGGTTGCAAATCCTTTGCAGTCAATTACAGCCTGAAGTCTAGAACGCATAGACTTCACCAGACCCTGGGTTTCATCCCTGGTGATGCTCTGCCAGGCCTCTACTGCAACTGTCTTCAGTTCCTGCTTGTTCTTGGGGCATTTTCCCTTCAGTTTTGTCTTCAGCAAGTGAAATGCATGCTCAATCGGATTCAGGTCAGGTGATTGACTTTGCCATTGCATAACATTCCACTTCTTTCCCTTAAAAAACTCTTTGGTTGCTTTTGCAGTATGCTTTGGGTCATTGTCCATCTGCACTGTGAAGCGGCGTCCAATGAGTTGTGAAGCATTTGGCTGAATATGAGCAGATAATATTGCCTGAAACACTTCAGAATTCATCCTGCTGCTTTTGTCAGCAGTCACATCATCAATAAATACGAGAGAACCAGTTCCATTGGCAGCCATACATGCCCACGCCATGACACTACCACCACCATGCTTCACCGATGAGGTGGTATGCTTAGGATCATGAGCAGTTCCTTTCCTTCTCCATACTCTTCTCTTCCCATCACTCTGGTACAAGTTGATCTTGGTCTCATCTGTCCATAGGATGTTGTTCCAGAACTGTGAAGGCTTTTTTAGATGTCGTTTGGCAAACTCTAATCTGGCCTTCCTGTTTTTGAGGCTCACCAATGGTTTACATCTTGTGGTGAACCCTCTGTATTCACTCTGGTGAAGTCTTCTCTTGATTGTTGACTTTGACACACATACACCTACCTCCTGGAGAGTGTTCTTGATCTGGCCCAACTGTTGTGAAGGGTGTTTTCTTCACCAGGGAAAGAATTCTTCAGTCATCCACCACAGTTGTTTTCCGTGGTCTTCCGGGTCTTTTAGTGTTGCTGAGCTCACCGGTGCGTTCCTTCTTTTTAAGAATGTTCCAAACAGTTGTTTTGGCCACGCCTAATGTTTTTGCTATCTCTCTGATGGGTTTGTTTTGTTTTTTCAGCCTAATGATGGCTTGCTTCACTGATAGTGACAGCTCTTTGGATCTCATCTTGAGAGTTGACAGCAACAGATTCCAAATGCAAATGGCACACTTGAAATGAACTCTGGATCTTTTATCTGCTCTTTGTAATTGGGATAATGAGGGAATAACACACACCTGACCATGGAACAGCTGAGAAGCCAATTGTCCCATTACTTTTGGTCCCTTAACAAGTGGGAGGCACATATGCAAACTGTTGTAATTCCTACACCGTTTACCTGATTTGGATGCAAATACCCTCAAATTAAAGCTGACAGTCTGCAGTTAAAGCACATCTTGTTCATTTCAAATCCATTGTGGTGGTGTATAGAGCCAAAAATGTTAGAATTGTGTTGATGTCCCAATATTTATGGACTTGACTGTATATCCCAAAGTTTGTGAACTTTATAACTTTCCTACAAACTAAAAAATACATCCTAATTTGGGTTATTTTCACCAAAGACATGTAGCAGAATACATCTTGGCCTAAATTTATGAAAAACAATTATTTATTTGCAAACTTTTATAACCGAAACAAAGAAAAACGTGTTTTTTTTTCAAAATTTTTGGTCTTTTTTTGTTAATTTAGCAAAAAATAAAAACCCCAGTGGTGGTTAAATACAACCAAAAGAAAGCTCTAGTTGTGTGAAGAAAATGATAAAATTTTAGCTTGGGTACAATGTTGTATGACCGCGCAATTGTCATTCAAATGTGAGAGCGCTGAAACCTGAAAAATGGCCGGGGCAGGCAGGGGGTAAAAGTGCCCTGTATTGAAGCGGTTAAGGGCCCTGACATTTCAAATTTCCTTCTGTTCTGTTTCATGAAGTCCTCTTCTGAGTAGGAGGCAGCATAATATCTGCAAACAGATTTTAAATAAGGTTTTTTTTTTTCTTTTTAACCTTAATGCATTCTCTGAAGCTAGGTGTTGTATAAAAATCATCTGAGAGTGAGCATAGAACTGGCCAGGTACAATATTTTTTTCTGCAGTTCATATTTGACAAAGCATTAACTAAAAGTTGATAAGACTTGTTCTCTCAATATCTAGTTGACTGATTGAAAAGACAAATGTTACTACTATAGTAGTGTTTTAGCTTTTACCACGTGATGTACATTATGTGCCTACTCTTTTAATTGTTGTTATATCTGTCACCAGTGAATATACAAGGAGTCATTTGCAATGTATAAAGAAAGCTGATTTTTGTAAATTTGCATTCGAGCTAACTATTATGTCAAATATGAAAACACAAAAAATGGTAATCAGATGTATGAGAATTGGAGTTAGATGGAGAACCACTATGGTAGGGCAGGTTGTGAATACTCCTAAATGATTTTCTCTACTTCTCTGAAAGGAAATCTGTAAGGATAGAAACGCTATCATTAGTTACCATTGTGGACAGCACTTTGGAGTGCAGGCTTATCAGGCTGTCATCCTGACTCACGCTTAGTAAGTCACTGACTTGGAACAAGCATACAGCAAGTAGGCCTAAAATTGTCCATTCTTCTCCTACATACATAGGTCAGGTCAGTAACTCCCTATATAGTGAAGCCTGGATCAGGATGACACTGTGCTACTTTAA